AGTAGCTAAAAATTTTGTTTCCAAGTATCTTTAATTTGGTCACTGAGTGCCAGGTGTTACCAAGCGGGTAAGAGTCAGTCCGGCCTTTGTCAGTCACAATACAACTTGGCTCACAAACTTACTGCAACAGTGGATCCATTCCTGCCAATTCCTCCTGTAAATATGACTGTGAAGTAACTATAGACAGCAATAGAAGCAGCAAATATTCCACAAAGAACAGGAAGCAGTTTCATTTCCAAATTCACCCATGGTATCTACATTATAAATTACTGTTACTATGTATACTTCTAGACATACAAGTGTAACAATTTCAAACTTCAGGCACAGCATAAACTGAACCATTACCAAATTTGATCTACAGCAAAGTGTCTATTACTGCATATACTACAAGACACATATATAAAAGTAGCCACCTTATATGGAAGGGGAACTGGATAATCATCAGTTTCAACCACTGGATCTATAACGTAAAATATTGTTTTTTAAATACTACATGCAATTTTACAATTTCATACTGACAGTGTTGGATCACTTCCAGAGTTTATTAACAAAATTCAGTAAACTGGCCTTTCATATGAATTAAACTTTAGCAAAAAATACAAAACGAAAAGGTCAGTTCAATAAATACCATTTATGTTAAATAAACAAGAAAATTTTTTAAAATCTAGTGTGGTTGAAATATTATTATACAGTCTCCTAGTTCTTGAAAATTCCTAAAGGACTAGATTAAGAACGTAGTGTTAAAAAATATAATAGTCCTAATAACATAATGTCTTATGACAAATATAATCAAAATCAATCATAATCCTACTTAGCCAGTTTCTAAAAGGCTTTCATACCATAACAATTGTTCTTGAAACAGTTTTAATGTTTTAAACTGTGCATTACACAATGTATCTAGATTCTAATGTTAATCTTTATTCCAAATAAAGTATAGTTTCCATTTGCTCTCTTTGTCATACATGTTTAAGCATGTGTGTGTGTGTGTGTGTGTGTGTGTGTGTGTGTGTGTGTGTGTGTGTGTGTATA